ACGTTTCCGCTCTTACTTTCGATTTCTGGATATCGCAAAACACCATCGATGATCAATCTATTCCCGTTCATCGATTTATCAATCTGGCCGCTGGGAAGGAGAGCATTCCGGTAAATTAGCTCATCTCTCTTTTTGGCGCACTAAAGACCTCTCCCTTCATTTACTCTCGTCATTGTAGGGATAATGCATGTTCTCCGTAGAAAAGTTTGCTTTCTACACACGCGCCTATATTTTTCTTCCTTTCCACACACGTACGCCTATGTTTTTCTTTTCTATCGCGCCGATCGAAGTCGGAAATCATCCACATTCCACGGACGAAAGCGGGGGAGACACGTTTGATTGGCTTTGAAAAATTATTTAGGTCGTGGATTTCTTTGTAATGAAATTCTTGTGTTATCAAACCATTACATATGATAGAGACGAAGCGTACACAGAAAAAAGGAATACTCTTCTTTTGAAAATGTGTTTAGTTTCAACGTGAAAATCTTGAAGTGAAATTGTATCGCGTTAAAGGGAGAAAGGCTTACTTGAATGAAGCGATTTTATGTAATTCAATCAGGAAAAAGATGTGCTTATTATTTAAGAATAATTTTCGTGAATGGAAAGGAAACGATATAGGGTAGAAAATAATATATTTTCAAGTCGGAAATTAGAATGATTAAAATTATATTATTGTCAAAATAATTGCATGTATTCTCGAAAATATAATTAAAAGTTTGTTACGAATATATAAAATTACACGTATCTCTGAAGAAATATATAAATTAAGACATATCTATCGCGTGTAAAATTGCTCTTTTTAGGGTCATCGTTTGAAAACGCAACAAATTACTTGTGAATAAGGACTTCATTATTTTACCGCACACGTGTCGTTATCCCACTAATGAAGAAACGATCGCACGGTAATAATCGGACAATTTTATTTGCACGTAGCGCGTTTACTGTTATTTACATAATAGGATATTACATAATAGGAATATCGCGTGCATGTACGTTTGAAACTGGAAATTTTGAAATCCGCGCTCGCGCATAAAATTAAAAAAAAACGTACATTAATCAAAGGAAAATTGAACGAGCTTTCGTGAGTCATGACAGTCGTCCGTCACTTTTGCGCAATAATTTTCCGCTATTATGCTGCACATTCGTAAGTAATAATGGCATATATAACATTCATTCTACAATGTACGGCAACAACAGAAATATACAAACAAATGCATACATTAAACTGATGTGGAAAACAAGAAGAAATATATTAAATAAAAACTTGACACGGACACTTTCGATTTGCATATCATTGTGTTTACACGCGCGAACCTGAAAACGAGAAACTGTTCAGACGCTATTCGCCCGGTGAATTTACGATCGCAGCGGGATCGCTTATCTTCGTTTCCGCGATGGCTAGATACCTTGTACGAGGCGATAATCGAAATAAAAATGTCGACCTTCATACCGTCGAACATGTGGACGAGTCTCGTTTGTCGACGACGTGCGTGGTAATAAAATTGGTTTCCTATTTGCAAAAAAAAAAGAGAGAAAGAAAAAAGTACACGCCTCCCCGCATTTCCGTGCCGTCGAACGTTTTCCGCTATTGCGAAAAAGTGACGAAACGATGTTCCGAATTAACGCGCCAATGATTCATTTGTGTTTTCGATCCCACGTCGACCAGAAGCGTGTATTTACGGTCGCGATACCCCACAAATTGTTAAGAGTTAGTTACCACGAATTTTTCCGGAAATTACGAAATGTTTCGCCAAAATTAAGAATCGGGAAGCTTTTTCATTTCAAATTCCCAAAGTCTGCAAACTGCTACGTAAAATGTTACAAACGTTGTTAATCTCTGACCGAAGTTGAAAGCGAATAATTGCGCTCTATTAACATTAACGTGCTATTTTCGTTCTTTTCCAGCACGGCTTGAAATAAAGCAAAGTTCGCCTGTTAATTAGAACGCTCTTGATGAGCCACGGTTATTTATCTCTAATTGTGAGTTCTTCGCTAATAAAGTTCTTTTCGCCGTTACAATATTACAACTGTTTTGTAAGAAAAGATGGGAGAATCAGGTTTTTCTCCGAATGCAGAGTTTTCTCAATTATTTAATCACGAAAATAACTCCGTAAATTAGCGAAAATCCAGTTTCTTTTTAAATGATTACGTTCGAGTAATTCCTGCGTTTGCCGAGTCTCGAAAGTATGCAAATGTCTTAGTATAACTTTTTAAGCTTTTGCATTGTAGAAATTTGTGTTAGATTTTAAAATATTATTTCGCTCTACATAACTCAGTCGCCTTTCCGACAGCCGTCACATCCTTCGTCCTTTAATATCCGTCTGAGGACGCGTGAGCAATGGTGGTTGTACTTTTCGTGTTGTTTTTTACCACCTCCTGCCAAATTCAGTTTCAATATAAAATATTCGCGACGGCGAGCGTCCTTAACGCTGTATATTCACGCCTGTGATCGCTCACGATTCTTTTGAACCCAGTAAAGCCTTTCTTCAAATCTTTTTAGAAACCTCTCTCGAGGATACGCCTGCGAAATCGCAGAATCATGCTCCCATCATTCCAGACTAAGATTTAGATTCCTTGGTTTTTACCTCTCGGATATAAAAGTAATAGCGTGTAAAGTATTACATTATAATATATCGCAATACTTGCGACGAGAGAGAGAAAGATTTTCTGCTTCTAATATTTCTAGGCTCTCATTACGTTCATCGGTTAGCGTCGATTAATTGCGGGTATAATGCCATAATGATCATTTATCATTAGCGCATTAGTTACAAAACGCTCCATTAATCTCACTCGCGTTCTCAAACGTCTCTCTTTGTGGTCGACTGAATTCTATCTTTAGAATCTTCACGGTTTCTTGATGATCTTCCTGAGCCTTTTCGTTGTCTTACTTCCTTGAAAATTTTTTAATTCTAAACAGACATTACATCGCTGTTCCTCCTCTAATTATAAAAGGTTGTGGCCACAAAATTTGTTTAGGAAACGAATGTTTATGAAACACATGAGCTAGGCGAAAGCATCCGTAAATAGCTCGTGTCATATACCGTTCGCTATTGAAAAATGAAACGCACAAAAGATACAATTTTCTTTTTATAATTATGCAATTTTTGCGAATCTTCAATTTATTTCACAAATTTTACACGAGAACGTATTTTAAAAGTTTGAAAGATACGCGTTGCCTAACGCAAAAATGTACGAAACACATTATCTATATTAACTACATTTAATTATTATTGCATTGCAACACGTGGCAGTTACATGCAACTGTAATTCGATGCAGATATCTAGGGAATGTTTGAAAAGAGTGTCTTTACATTGAAACTTACCTTTTATCACCCGCCGAGGGATATAAAAACGAAGTGTGAAAGCTATACAAGGAATATTCATGTAACGAGGGGACCCGAACTCAATTCGAGTAATCCGAAGGTGGAGATTGTCTGAAATTGCGAGAAACCACTTTCATGCATGAAGATCTCGCTCCCTAAATGTTATGGCCGCTTCGTTTAGTAAAACGTTTCTGTTTCTACCTAATATATGCGAGAACCTGTTTAGTTATAGACATTAATATTTAGAAGCTGATTGAATCCTTTGGGAAGCGATATGAAACCGCAAGAGTTTGGAGTCGAGATTGTCCAATTTTTCCAATCTCTAATGGTCGATTGTCTCTCGAAGACCGCAATATTCCACAGCAATGTGAATAGTGCGATGTAATAAAAGTTCATTTTCTTGGTGCGAAGTAATAAAACTGCGGAAGGTGAGCCAAAGTAGCGCCAAATGAAGGCAAATGGCTTCCGCGATGACCTTGCGTTGTTACTCGCCGCATTCTCCTCGATACGTTGCGGGAGCCATGAATCGCGGTGGATGTGTTCGCACCTCCCTGAAAATGGGCGATTCCTTAGTCTATTAACTCTAAGATATCACCTGCAATTTGGAAACCGACACTAACGGCGCGCATATATCTTTACAGCCGTTGTAATCTAAAATGAAAACGATGTCTCTAAAGTGTTTCTAATTAGAGCACGCGCTAATTTTTTCTTGTAGAAACTTTTATATCCCATTTCGCACGTGAAAATTCGCCACGCTCTGCTTCCCCAACGGCTTCCGACTCAACAGGATAATTATTGTCAGTAAAAAGAATTGTTAGACGACATTAGGCTGGCAGACGGTTTGTTTGTTTGATTCCGACGTCTCGGCCATACGGGTTGTGGTCCTTTTCGAGGAATTTGATAATAAATATCACGTCATCGATATTAAATTAAAAACGGAGATTTGACATCCATCTCTGGGCGTCACTCGGAGAACTATGTTCGAAGGCGCGCGTCCATCCGACGTAACGATCACAGTTAGGACTGTCCTTATAGTTATAATAATAATTCCTGGCTGGGGTAATATTTTTCGCAATAATTTTAATAGCTTGATACGGTCAACAAAAATCGCTATAGCCAGTGTAGGTCGATAAAACTTATGAAATTTTGGTTTATAATCTCTGGCGATATATAATTACCACTCTTGTTTCTTAACACACCATCGACCTTAGATAATGGTGTCCAACAACTGATGTTATTAATTTATTAATTATTACACCAAAAAAAAACTTGGTTTCCTCCGTTAGGAGGAATGGGATCAAGGGGGAGGGAAGGGAAAAGGGAAATTCTAAAAATCGCATATCGACAGGATATTGTGCGGTCGACAATCCGTATCGACGCACAGTTTCTGGAGAGTCGAAATAGATGCGTAAACAACATCTTAAAGTTATATACACGTTATTGCGAATAGTATTATCACAGCCCCGGTGGTCGAGCTGGCTAAGACGCCCGTCACGGATTGTAGGGAGGTCCCAGGTTCGTATCCTGGCTGGGGTAATATTTTTCGCAATAATTTTAATAGCTTGATACGGTCAACAAAAATCGCTATAGCCAGTGTAGGTCGACAAAACTTATGAAATTTTTATAATAATAATTATTGTCCCATTAATTATTGTGTTAAACAAAATTACTTTGCAGTCGCAGTGGTGGTGGCCTTTTTTATCTGCTGGGCGCCGTTCCACGCTCAGAGGCTGTTGGCCGTGTACGCTCAAAGCAGCTCGTCTGAGCCAGAAGGCACCATGGTCACAATTTATACCACGCTCACGTACGTGTCGGGAGTGTTCTATTATTTATCCACCACGGTGAATCCGCTCCTCTACAATATCATGTCAAACAAGTTCAGGGAGGCGTTCAAGGTGAGTCGTTTTCGGAGAACTGGTTTTAATCGGTTCACTTCCCAGTGGCGAATCCCCACGTGAGCCGATTTATAATCGATCGTAGAAGAGTAAATTTTATGTTACATTTTATCCCGTTAAAAAAAATTACAGTTGAAAAGCTCACAAAATATCTAAAACGTATACCTGATATAATTATTTATAATTACATTTTATTATGTTTTCCATGTCTTTTAACATATACTTCTCGCATTTTCATATTAAATATATTTCATATTAAATATATTTAGACAACGAATGTAACATTTATAATTTTAACACAGGCTACGAATTTCGTCTTCTGGGGCATCATCGATAAAACGCGTTGTGATGAGAACGTGGCAGGAATACAAAATTGTTTCGTAATTTAATTTTATCTCTCTTCTGCAGTCGATGTTGCCCAAGTATTGCATCAGGAAGTTTTCGTCTCACAAGAGCAATCGCCGAAAGCCGACTTACAGCAGCCTGTCGCGGTATCAGAGGTCGACGAGGCATCGATTCGACGCCCAGCACTCGCCCTCGATATCCGTCAGCGACGAACAGCAGCGATTAGCGCATATCGCACTGGCGAACGCAAATTCCTGCGAGTCGAACGGACTCGCGAGATCGCAGAAGGAGCGAGAAGGGCGACCTAACATCGCGGCTGCGATCAGAGAAACCGTAGGCTGCCGAGATTATACCAGAAGAGTGTCCAGGGATTCGGCCAGCAGCCAACTTACCACGATGACATCGTTAAGCAAGCAGGGCAACGAGGGCAACAACAACGCGAACGAATGCCTACTGAGGATCCACAGATCGCCAAAGGCTGTCACTTTAGGTAGCGTCTGTTTGCACCCGTGTGCGTCTTCGCGCCATTAATTAATCCGTAGGCTATCGTAGAGAGGAAGGTCCTCTATTATGAGAATTCTAATATGAGATAGTAGGTGTTCAACGTCCAAATTCGATCGCAAATCTTTTTCTCGCAACGATTACTCGATCTAACAATCGATTTTCCACAAAACAAGTGGAAATCAAGGTGGAGCCAACAGATGATGCCCATTAATTTAGGAGAAACTTCGCTGTCGCATATTAAGAGCCTATCCCATAATAAAAGACTAATCAATGACGGGTAAATCAGTGACGCGAGGTTTTTTAAATATGCCGAATTAATTGAGAGATTAACAGCGAAATACACATGTGATTATGTATATAAAATGTCTCACGAAGATACAATGGTTGAAATACTTTTATTTTGTCTTATACATGCTTCGAAGAATGATTGTACGTAAAAAAGTTTCAAATACGCGAAACGATAAGCATTAACGCACGCTTATCGTTTCGAAATTAGCAGCGTTTCGAAACAGACTCTTATCGCTTTCTAATTTTGGTGTTTAATTTATAACATCGAAATTATGGAAAAACGGCACGAAAAATTACAATCGTAAGAAAAACATACTGTATTTCTAAATGCATATTATAAGTTTTACACGCACGCATTCTACGAGCAGAGGACGTTCGTAATTAAGGGACAAATTTATTTCAAAGTAAAAAGCAAAAATTATATTTACACGAAATGTATTCGCGCTTACAAAAAGCAGAAACTCTCGCATCCGTCGTTCAAAAATTTCTTGCATTAACTGTTATCCCTAACATTTTGGTATTTTCAGCAGGAATCCTCACGGAAAGATTGGGCCTCGGCACAAAAGGATTTTTCGCGCAGCATCGAAAGAATTCGCCGACCAGCCCGGCGAAATCGAAATCGGGAAATGTGATTGCGGTGCCACCGCGATTTCAGAGTCACCCGAGCATCGAGAGCGCCAACACGATTAGCAACTCCAGCCTTCAGGACCTCGACGAGACCGAGTTCACCGGATCGGAACTGGCGCGTTACATGGGCGAGCTAAACTTCGAACTCGTCACCTGACGTCCGTTCGTCGCGGGAGAACGCCGTCTCTCGAATTAGATCCCGAGAACAGATCAGAATTACTTTGATTGTGGAAATCGCAGGTTTGTAGAAACTTCTAACTCAAGAGTTTTCCCGAAGACCACAATCGAAGCCAAGGATTTAGTGTACTGAACGATGTACACCAAGATGAATTCACGTGGAGCGTTTGTCGAAAGAGTTTCACGAACGGTCGCGCTTGAAGAAGCGAGAAGAAGTAATTCAATCATTTCGATCGCACAAAAAGATGCAAAATATATGGAAATTAACGATAATGCTAATGAACGATATTAAAATCGTCGCTCGCGGCTTGTGAACGCCTATGTGTGTTGCCTCACGCAAAGAGCCAAGCCGGAAATTATGATATAAAGCCCGCGTGGATGTCTGTTATCTAAAGTACGTATGTATGTGAAGATTATATTTCCCTATCCACATAGCACGGCTGTTAATAATGCTAGTCTTCTCTGCTGCGAACGGTGAGAATTTGCAGACGCAGTCTCAACGTTCCTGAGAATGAACAGTGAACATTATACCGATGATCATTATTATGCTATTCTCGTTAATAAGATATGACGTTATGCGTGATCAAGGCGAATGTTCTGTCGAGACCGGCATGTCCAACCAGCTTCTCGTTTCCTTTCGTGGATAACTGTATTTTTGTGATAAAACCAGATCGCACAAGATTTTAACATCTATCAAAGACTTGTACAAAACATAAAGTCTGCGTAATTAATCTATTTTTGTTATCTCATGCGACGTTGGAAATGCATGAACCTGCATAAAATTATTTCGACGTCATCAATAAAAAGTATATGATTGCAAACCATAATTTCTTCAGTAGGAAAACAATTTATACAATAATCTTCTTCCTAAGAAGTTTGCCTATTTATCGATTAGAGTAGAAAATACTTAGAGTAGGAACAATCTTAAATAGAATATTACTCGAATAGGATTGCAATATATTTTCCAAGGCATACATTAGTGAAATTGCATTGAGAAATGTCTGTAAAAATATCTGAAAGATTATTACGATACTTATTATTGATACCGTCGATGTACTTATTGTGTACATATACGTAACTGGGAATTTCATTATTTATTTTTATATCTACATATATTAGTATGATAATAGTCAATGTTTCTAGCTTTATTTTACAGATAATAAATACCCGATCCGTTTGCATAAACAACAACTGTACAATTTATGTATATGCATATAATTTGTTAAATAAAAATGTAACAACCGTCCGTTTCAAAGCGCTTTTAAAGTCGCGAATGCATTCACATTATCAACTGTTACCATTTTACAAACTATACTTACATCAAAAGTCTTTATTCTTTTTGTAGATTACTTCAGATTTTTATCTCATCACGAAAAAAAAACAGTAACGAAGCAATTTTTAAGAGAGAGGAAAAATAACAAACTCGCCGATGAGCAACGATATCTACAAATTTAAAAAAACTATAACTAAAAATTTTATGTATTATTAAATTTTAGGTCGCATCTCGATGGAAGCTGTAGCGTTAGGGCGCGAAACTTTTCCACTTCTTCAATTCAGGATGAACTTGATTCATTCCTGATCAGGATAAAATCTAGACGTTCAAAATATACAGCCTACATGACAACGCCGCGACAGCTAAAATAACAGAAATGTATTTTCGAACTTCTGTAAAGATAAAAATTAAGACAGGTATCGACAGTTTGACACACAATCAATAATCATGACCGTAACCATCGCTGAAGTATCTGCCGTTAATCTTAACTTGAGACTCAAACTTGTCGAAAAAGAAGGGCAATTTTTGGAGGGCGGTTCCCTTGAGTTTTACCTTGAAAGCGGAGTCGTGTTGCCAGTAGTAAACAACGGAAGCTACGAAAATAAATCTGACACTGCGTCACACAAAGGTAGAGAGAGTCTTCATTTTCGCAATACACTGCAAGAGGAGCAACAGAGATACAGCGTGCGACAATTGTTCGGGCAATGCACGCTTTGTTGATTCTGAAAGAGCGGCTTCCGCTCTTTTGCGGTACAGCACTTTCCATCAGTAACATTATAATCCTGTACGCACACAACGTGCATTGCATCATATTGATTAATCAGACCTGCCGTTGGCGTGAAAATATTGAAAAGTTCTATGCCTGTTTTCAATTACGTAATGCCAGTCGGTTATTCACCCACGTTCGCTGGCCATTGTCATTATTACCTTATGTTATATCATCGATTGTGACAACAATCTCCATAGTCTCGAATTCATCGGACCCATATAAATTACCGTTCTTAGCGATAAAACGGGCGATAGCTCTGGGCTGATGATATATCTTACCATCTATCTTCGGAATCGGCAGTTGTCTACATGTCTACATGGGCGTGTCTACAATTTGTAAAAAACGAAAATGACTACGTTTGTCATTAAGTTATTGTTGAACAATATTCACTAAAAATATTTGTTTATTATAGAAATATAATTAAAAGAAAAAGTGAGTGATTAAGCTTACAATCGACCATAACTGGCAACGTGTTTTTAACACGGAAAATTTAATGCGAAAAATATTACCAAATTGGTTTAAATGGCGAGACGCCCGCCTAGAGTGTAGGGAGGTCCAGGTTCAAACCCTGGCGGAGGTAATGTTTCTCGCAACAAATTTTCTGTGTTAAAAACACGTTGCCAGTTATAGTCGATTGTAAGCTTAATTATTGTTAGTCATGTACTGACGTCAAATAATTCTTGAAAAACAGTGAACTTGACACCACAAATGAAAGGATCGTAAAACAAATTTTATAATATTAATTAATATTTAAACAGAAAAAATGACTGAATCTGCAATCAATTATTTCATAATCGCAAAGATATAACATAGAAATAACATACTTGGTTTACATTTCGGCCACTGTTTTAAGCTGAGTCTAACATCCTCGAATTTAATCGAAAAGAAAGTTACGAGAAACTTCAAACTTTTTTATTACTTTGCAGCCTGCAGTCTGATCTCTTATAAACGTCAACTTTCTGGAAGCCGATATATTGTAGAATTATTCGCAATTTGAGTATGACTGAAATTGTGCTAAAGTAATATTCTTTATGTTAGTTGCTCGGAAACAGGCGTCCTTGATTTTATCAGAAATGTTTTGCGTAAAAACTGAAATTAAACGTACATAATACATTTTTGATGTGCCAAATGCACAAAGTTATACGAATTTTACTATATTCCGCTATTATGATTCTTATTATTCTTAGTTTTTATAACATATAATATTATTTAATGTATAAAACATACACAGAGAAAATTTTCTTTTAAAATTTATCCTGAAAATATTGTAATCGCGGGGCAACACGGCATTTCAAAGAATTTTATAAGAGTTTTTTGAAATTTTACCAGGATAAATTTTAAGAGGAAATTCTCTTCGTGTATGTACATGCGCTATATACATCACGTGAAGGTCATCTTCAAATTTTTTAAATGGAACCCCCTTTAATCCAAACAAATTTTGTTTAAAACCTTTTTCCGCATCTTTCATATTTTTGGAGATATTTGCGTGGATCATTTAAAATGAGACTGTATAACAATACAAAATCGTATGATAATTGTATAAAACATTATCAAACAGATAAGAGTAAAAAGAGATTAAAAATGAGAAGCGATAAGTGATAACACATTTTTACCGAGTGGAACAGATTTTATTTCCTTTTATTATTCGTTACATAATAATATTAGTTGTTAAAGTGCAGGAGAACTGGCTGAAGTTATTCGGAAGTAACGTAATTAGCACGCTATTATTCTTATAAAACATTTCGAAAGGGAATAGTTATTAAAGAAGAAGTTATTAAAGAACGACACCGGCGCGTAGCGAATCAAAGGAATTTAAGAGCGTACAAAATTTTCGTTTTATTTACAATTGCGTCTTGGGTCGCTTCTCGATGTAAGCTTTAACCTTGGGCAAAGCGCGAACTTTCTCCACTAACTTCTTCAATTCGGGATGATCTTTGTTCGGATCCCCAGCCAGGACAAAACCCAGATAGTCGCAGTATCCAGCCCACAAGAAATCTGGCCAGGATAGCTAAAACAATTGAAAAAAAAATAATAATTTGGCTCTTTACCAAGACAAAATTAACAAGGTAAGGAGCTTGGCATGCAATTACAAATTATTACCTTGCCGCCCACGAAGTATCCACCGTTCTTTTTAACTTGAGCCTCGAATTTGTCGAGATAGAAAGGCAACTTTTCAAAGGCGGTCTTCTTGAGTTTCTCTTTGAAGGCGGAATCTTGTTCCCAATAATAAGAGGATAGAGCTACAAGAAATAATTTTGCCTTAGGAAACATGCGGCTCGTTGTCAATCGTACAGCTGCTTTATGCAAAGTAGTTTGTCACAATAACATTAAATCCCCACTCCGTTCGCAATGTGGATGGCGTCATATTAGGTAATTGTTGCGGAAGACTCGTAAAGTCACAATTACGTTGTTTCGATGATTACGTAATTGACAACTTGTCATCCTCTCGCGTTCGCTAATAACTAACACTTTTTACCTTGTCTTATATCGTCTATAGAATCGACAGTAGCATCGATCTCCATGGCCTCGAAATCGTCGGATCCATACAAATCCGCCTTCTTCGCAAGGAAGCGTCCGATGGCTCTGGACTGATTATATTGCTTTCCATCGATTTCCAGAACCGGCATTTGTCCCATGGGCATGTCTGTAATTTGTAAAAATTCCATTAGATTATTGCGAAGCAGCATCTATTTCATATGCGCGTTTATAATAGAAATGCGACTAAAATAATCATGGGATAGAACGATAACCGTGAGAAGCTCAAAGTAAATTTTACAATACTAATTATTACTTACTAACGAATTAATACTTAATTAGATAGAAGAGAACGGAAATTATGACTGTATCGTAATTTATTATGTCAATAATAACATATGAGATCAACATACTTGGCTTGTACTTCGGCCAATCGTCGAAGTTGATTCTGACATCCTCGAATTTGATGCCGCAATGATTTAACAGGAATCTAAGTGACTCCCCAAGGCCGGTAACATTGAAATACGTTAACTTGTACGTCGGCATGTTCTGAAAATTGTATAAATAAAATTTAATGTCATGTGAAATAATCTATTGGCGCGTTTTTAGAAAAATCTAAACAAGGATACTAATGCTGGCGCTATGTGACATGTATAATATGTACATTATATAAATATATTATTCAAAGTACTCGCAATGAAGTACTGACTAGCTTCAATCATTATTTTTAGATCTTCTTCAAACAATTATTAATTGTTTACTATAAAGATCAGAGATAGAAAATTAGAAATATAATCAAACTTGATATTTGACGTTTGATTATGTAATTGCATTAGTATCCTTATAACAGGTTTGCATTCACTTAAAAATAAGTAATTTTCAAAAATATTAATTTGCACAAACATATTTCGCATATTCATTCTAGAAGTAGGTAATGGAGGAGACAATTTTTCATTACCTTGCAGTCTATGGAATTGATCTGTCGTAAAAATCGTGGTTCTGACAACCGATGCGGAGCTGTTCGCGAATCGAGAACGACTGAGCGTTTCGTTGGAACGTAACTGCGTAGGCAGTTACTCGGGGGACTTGGGTCCTTTTGCCAGTAGATTATGGAGAAATACGGGATTTAACACACGCCCAACACACGCACAGAATTATATCTAACAGAATACATCTGACAGAGTGCACGCATGGAGGTTGCGTGTAACGGTACGTTAATGGAAAAAAAGGATGCGTGTCTCTTATTTTCTCGTGAGATCGAGATGCTAATCACGGAACAGTGATGCATGAAATTATATTGAGGCCTATACCATTGTAACAATAAACAGAATTTTTCTCGCGCTTAACATTTTAGTTACACATCGCTGCGTACACAGTTGGAAAATGTTGATTTTAATTCTATTATATATAATATAAGTGAGAGTGATTTCGAACTGTCATTCGACTAATTATATCTGTAAAATGTAAAAATTACATTTTTTAAATTTATTTTGCCATTAAAAATATGTTAATTTTTCACAAAATTTATTTTAAATTATTTTGAGATTTGCATTTATTTTGTGTTAAAATATTAACTGAGTATTAGTGTGAATATTTAACATATCCATATTATGTTACATTAACACAAAAATTTGTGTGGACCGTTTGAAACATGTGATATCTCTTAACTTTAACACACATTTTTCAACTGTATATTCTTTTCATGCCGAATATAAGAAACTTCCAGATTTTTACTTTTTATTTAACTTGAAACGATTTTTTTTAATGAGTCATTCACGTTGACCAATGTCATACGTAAAATGACGCGGCAAAAATAATTTTGTACTATGGATAACAATATGTCTGACGACTCGTAGTAAGCATATGTTATTTGTAAAATTATAGAAATCGAAATCGATTATAATATAATAATTGCACGTATGTTTTTAGACAGGCAAATTGTCCAAAATATTTAAAGCCGTGCGATTGATAGCGATAAAAATTACATAATATTTCGCCAATGATAACGCTTAAAATGTAAGTCTGCAAAGCAAATTATATTATCTGAACTTACTGTAAATAACGTGTGTCTCTGTACTGACATTATCTGCAACATGTAATGCATATATCATTACGTAAACTGATTCCTCTGTGCTATTAATAGCAATAACTCGTTATTTCTCAATGACTCGCCAGTTTCACTCGCGTAAAAAAAACCGGGAGAAAAATATGATAAGTAATGATAATAAAAAGTTGATTAATAAGCTTTAAATATATCAGAGTATTAACAGCTTGCAGCTTTAATTTCAAGATAATTATTAAGAAGTTAATTTTAACTTAAAAGCACACGTTTTAATATTCAGAAAAGAATAAGTAAAAGATGATGCAAAGAATTTATTGGCTCAATTCTATTCTTAAATTTGTACATCAAGTCTTTCGATATCAGTCAATCTTATGTAACGTATTAAATCTGTAATTAGGTATTTCAGGTATTATTTTTTCAACGTAAAGACGTAACTTTTCAAAAGATGCGTTCACAGAGGCCGTAAATAAATAAGTCAAAGAATATAGTAGCGAACTTTCTTCAAGCATTCAATATATTACAATACAAGAATATTCTTGGGAAAAATATCTATATTGATCAATGTTAATGTTTAATACAATTTTTTTGTCTAGAAAGACCAGTGTATGTGGGTGTAATCGTCACATTGCAGCGTAGCACGCGTGGACAAACTTTACAGTTCACAGTTACTCAGTGAATAGTAATAGACCCCCCTTAATTGTAACTAACTTGTGCGACCTTCGGTTGTATTATAGTTATACTCAGCAGTAATATTGCAACCTAGCAACCGTAAAAGCCACATCATCGCGATATGACTTGAAAAGCATCTTCAGTGCTATCGGTATATAAATGCAGAGCATTATCTGCGTTATCTGCGTTATCGGTGTTATCAGCAAATTAGTTACTCAGCATTTATTTTATTTACTACACACGCCCCTTCTGTGTCATAAGCACTTTGAAGACAGATATCTATTTACGCAAATCTAGGTACTCGACCTCTTGGCTGTTAAATTCTTGATTATACTGCTGTCATTTTTCGTCAACATGACGAAATTTTGTTTCTTATACTTGCTGTGTCTTGATTATAATAAGATTAGCTTGTCTTTCTCTCACTTATGAATAAACTTCAATTATAGAATATGATTGGTTGGCTAGCTTGAAAACGATTCAAAAATAATTTTCTGACATCAACGCTCTGTTTGTATTAATATATGAATTGAATACAAAATTGAAACAATGTATTAGGTCTGTGCATATGAAACAATATTTACACAACAATATCGATTGTCTTGCGAATAACATAAGAAGAAATGAAAGCTCAATTATCAAAGAAAATAATATTTATTCCCGCTTTCAATTTATGAAAAACATAAGAATCGAATCAATATATGAGTCTAGCAATTTGGCTGATAAATTTTTTATTTTTTTGTCTTTCTATTAGTTTTCAAGGTTTATGCCCTCCAGTCATATCGCGATATGACTTTTGCGGTTGCTAGGTTGCAATATTACTGCAGAGTATAAATTATTTTACAACCGCAGTTCGCACAAGTTAGTTACAATTAAGGGGAGAAGTCAATTACTATTGACTGACTAATGTTTCTACTTTACCGTTGCAACATAGCTTATTTTCTATTTCCAAGAACAACTTGCTACGAAGTTGAGTAAACAAAAATTTTCCGAAGTGACAACAGTCCAAAAATAAGTCTTAGATTAATTCACGTTTACTCTTTCTAAGGTAACAGGTGGAAAGAGACAAAAATAAATTAAGTTAAACCTAAAACACAAAACCGAAACTCCAAATCCTAAAAACTCAACACCCAGCAAATCCCAAATTTCAAAACTCAAAATCCAAAACCTTAATTCACGTTTGTCTCTTTCTAAGGTAACAGATGGAAAGAGATACTACGTATCGTGTAGGGATTCGGTAGGCAGGGACAGGGGGACATAACTCAATAATTTTATAATGTAATTTATATTTCTTTTATAATACTGTATACGTTGTAAAGTAAATTATAAGAAAAGTTAAATAAATAATAAAATTGTAAAAAGTCACATTGAAAAGAAAAAGAAACCGCCGATTGAAATCGGCGGGGGTAGTGGATGGCCTCTTTCAATTAAGTTGAACTATTTTTAAGATATATGTATTATTATAAAAATGTCCAGTCATTCTTGTTTGTCCATTTACGGTGTAAAGTTTATGATATAAACTTAACACTTTATGATAGAAAAGCATTTTTTTATATTTAAAAAGACGCTTTCAATTTTTCGTAACTACTTGTTAAATATCTATCATTATCTTCTAATAATTTTACTTTATCATAAATTAAGAACGTAGACGGATTATGAAAAAAGTGGACGAATAAAAAGGTCAATTTCGTGGAAACGAAAGAAGTCCACAAAAAGTTAAATATAATTAATTAATTAATTGTAAATTTATTGAAATACAAAAGTGCGTAAATGAAGTACAATAGTTCAAGTTTTAATCACATATAGTTTTATCTTTGTCATTTGACAATATGCGAGTAACAAGTCTACAACGGCTGATAAAGTATACAATTGTACCTCCAAGGCGTAGTTCTTGAAATTATAATATATATAGCTTGACGTAGATAGAAGCACAATCTTTAAAAAACAAATCAATATTTTATTCAAATTTACACCAACAAATAATCGATTCTATCAGAAACTTAACCAGCATTTTATTACATATTAATTATAATATATATATATATATATATATGTATAATATTTTTGATCACGGTAGTATAGTTGCTGGACGCTTCGCGATCCATTTCTTGATGGCCGGTACTTCTTCGACCTTCTTCTGAAGTTGTTTCAAGTTCTTATACTTCTCGACGATGTCCTCATTCATCATGAAGTTCAGATACTCCAAAAGAGCGACAAAAGTGAAATCGGCCCACGACAGAGCACCACCGACGAAGTAACCGCCGTTCTTCTTCACTTGAGCGTCCAAACGCTCCAAATAATATGGCACCGTTGTTTCTTTGGCAATTTTACGTTTCGTCTCTTTAGCCTGTTCGTTACTTTCATAGTGGAAACCAGCAATATCTGGTGCAAACAAAAAAAAGATACGACAAATAAGTGTGACAACTCAGACGACAATCATTTCAGGGAATAGAAATCAATGCAGATGTTAAAAAACATGTTTCTTCACTATTCATCATTGTTTCGGAATAAATCTGACCATTATCGAGATGTAAACCTACTAAAATTGTGATACAAATCTGTTTTTAAAATAAATCTCCTATCCTGGTAAATAAGCGATAAGTATAGCGCAAATATAATATTATCTACTCACTGAGGCGTAAATCGTGTATGGTGTCGATGGTCGAATCGATTTCCAGAGACTCCCAATCGTTCTTGCCAGCAAGACCGCATTGCTTCGCCAAGTAACGGCCAATAGCTACGGACTGATCGATCTTCTTCCCGTCTACTATAAGTACGGGTACTTTGCCGAATGGCATAGCTGAAAGATAACGTTAGAACGCATGAATATACAATATACTGTTAAAATTGATAAGGTTTCTAGGGACACTCTTGGGTTATTGTAAATTTAAATCTACAACAATTGGATGTTATATCTATTATATATATTATATGTACATATACATTGAGAGTTTTTACGATTAATCATTGCACATAATTGAAGTACAATTACATTTTTAAGTCTTATTGTTACTTTGGCAACCCAAATCTTAATTTGTTTTCACAAGTCTCAGTTTAGCAATTCAGTCTTATTTTCACGACAATCTTCTCTGCTGTACATTTACCATATATTATTAAATGTGTAGCATAATTATTACATCAAAATATTTTATGTTAAAAAGTGAAGAAGTATGTTTCGATAGTTCGTTGCTCCAAAAAATAATGCAAAAGCTACATATCTTTGCCACGTCATAATTGTATTCGTAAATTAGATTTGCAGAACGATCGAGTCGGATTAAGCTGGCGACAAGTGATCGTTGACAGCGACATGTATTATTAATGTTAATCAATTGTACATACTCGGTTTAAGTTTTGGCCAATCTTTCCTGTCGAAACGTTCATCCTCGAATTCAATGCCAGCATAGTTGAACAGGAATCGAATTGGCTCGGCCAATGCAGTGATGGGGTAATAAATCAACTTGTAGGAAGGCATGTCGCTGAACAGAAAGACACGGAATAATAACTATTCTCTTATCGTATAACATAAGATATTTAATATTTTGCAGCCTTCCTGTTCTGTTGCAACTTTCAAACATATTGTTCATAACGAGTGTTGCTAATTTGTCGGCAACCCATAACAAACAGCAACTAACGAGTACATAACATCAATATTATAATTTTTCTCTTAACAATACAAATGTAATATACAGGGTGTCCTGAAATTCGCGAATCAAAATACCATAGCAAGAATGTCGTCGAAAAAATAAATTGAAAAGTTATTTGCCATTTTTCGTTCCGAGCAGTAGTTTTTTTTAGATAAAAAGGTTCAAAACA